GAGAGAGAGAGAGAATTATATTTTGCAGAATTATTATTTTGAAATTTATCCTACATATGCATTCTGAATCTGTGCCCAAACACTTACGCTAATTACAGCGCATGTGACAGACGAATTAATTAATTGTGAAATGCACAAGTGAAACACTAAGCAAACAGTGGTATTACTTCACGCGGTATTTGTATTTACTTCAATGAACTATCCTTTGTATCCATACTATGATCTACAGTTGATATAATCTTTCCATTAGTGAGAAAGCAATTTGTTAATGTAGCAGATACACGATTATAATTTGTGACGCGTAAACAACATACGTATCTATGTACGTACCTCCATAAACAAATTATGACATGTTTACTTGAATGTATATGATTAAAATAAACATTTTAAGGACGCGCGTAATAAACGCATTTGTTTTTATCGAATATGAAGCATTGTGTGTTTAGCGGCTCATCTCGTTATATCCGTCCGTTTATATAGCAACAAAAATTATTTACATTATTTGTAAACGTACTAGTAGACGTAAAAATATTGGAATACTCCTTCTATCCGTATAGTGGTTCATTTTGCATCAGGGAACCGACCCAGTTTTTAGTTTGTGTATTATAGATTGAAAATATTTGCCGAACGAGCCATGAAAAATATTGGCAAAGCGGCGAGATTCGCTATTGATAGAACGTTAGAGGAAATAAAATTTCTCGCTAGTAAATTTTTTAAACGTAAGTAAGAAAAATTTATTTCGCTACATAAAGCGCGCAATTCTCGGGCCGCGATTATCATCGGGACTTTCCCAATTTCTGCTTTAAAAATTCACCGTGTGTTACTTCGTATACCTGCTATTACAAAGTTTTAGACAGTTTTTAGACAGACACGAAGGACGAAATACGATCTCGTATCACCGAATCTGCTTGCAAATGATAAAATCCATAAGTGTCGTTTCGCAAACGTCAAATTAGTGCGCGCAATAAAAATGTTGAGAAACTTTGCGACTGCATCTCGGAGAGAGAGACGGGAGATCCGGGAGAGGAAAAAAAAAATGTACGTACAGTTCGTCGAGGGAAATCAAGTTAGTTGGAACGAACGATCGTTCATTCGCATTTCGCGCGAGAGGTCGTCATCTCGTGTAGCGGCGATGCATCCTGCATCGAACGAACGAACGAACGAACGAACGAACGAACGAACGAACGAACGAACGAACGAACGAACGAACGAACGAACGAACGAACGAACGAACGAACGAACGAACGAACGAATGAATGAACGGTCAGTAGGCACAAGTGCGAATAATATCGCGGCCGAACCGACCGACCCGGATTTAACGGCGTTAACTCCGTTTCCAGCGCTAATGATGCATAGAGCAGCGCAATTGGGTTCCGTACGAATGGGACGAAATCCTACGCGCGGGATCCGCTGAATCCAGGATCGACCCTTATGTTGGCGAACGCGCAGCCGGCCGCACGATCACGTAGCTCGCTTTGCCGATCAAACGCCGCGATTTTCGGCACAATGATCCATTCAGACGCCTAACGAGGACGTGTGCGTGACGGCGGCGATCCCCCTCCCCCCCCCCCGATTCGTCGATCGCGCTTTAGAATAGCGAGACAGAGCGACGTAATGTATCGCGTTAATGGACATACGGAGAGGTACGTTTCGATTCGTATGGAAACATCGGACGAATTAATTTTAATTGACTTTAAAAGAGCGCGCAACACGCGGGACCGCGGGATCGGGATAACAATCGGCCGACAATCGTAGTTTAATGGGAGAAATTTACGGTAAAAAATTACCGAAAACTAGTTTTATACATCGTTGTGAATGTACAGGCGTGCTCTATCGTGCGTGTTACGATTCGCGAGCGATTTGCGTACCCGTGTTTTTTCGTTTCGCACGGCGGATCGGATAAAAGACCCTGTTGCAAAACTACGTGCACGCGCGCGTCGATAATTATCGAGCAAACGGCACACCGTTATGGTCGGCCACTGTATTTCACAAAAGCCGAGCATTTACGGGCGATTCTCCACGCCATGTATTTTTTCTTTCTCTCTCTCTCTCTCTACCTTTTTTATTTTATTTCTGCCGTACCAAACGCAAATAAGAGCATTCTTTGGCGACGGGGCTCGCGCGTATACATTTCCCTGCTGAATGTTCCACGTTGTTTGCCGTTTTATCGTGACATTTCGAAAGCGTTTCGGATTTCATGGACTATCCGGGAAATGTTTTCCGCGACCATTTGCAACTCTCGCCGTCGACGCGTTCTCCGCGCTGCACCGTGTTGCATTTAATTATGATCGAGGGTGCCACACTCCTCGCACGAGCGCCGGATTTGAAGTCTATTAAATATAATCCGTTACGCGATGTCACGGCCACTATATCGCGATGTATT